GAAGAAAGTAATTTATTTGTAACTTCCAGGGAAGGGTGCCCCAACCACGGTGCCAGTCTTGGCCAGTGAGGGCAACAGATCGTACAATAGGAGACAACGCAGGAGACACGGGTGCTTGATAATTAGAAGGTAACACATATAGTCCTTGCTCACAACGGCCTTTGTATCTCACCCTGTGGGTTGTGTTGTCCAGGATCTGAAATTCAGTAGGGTTAAAAAGTAAGGTGCAGTTATTATCTTTTGTGAAGCGATGAATGGAAAGGAGGTGAGATTTAAGGCTAGGGACATGTAAAAGATTACTAAGGTGAAAAATGCCAGAGGCAGTGGGTATTTTACCTGAGCCAACATGAGAAATAGGAAGGGATTGACCACCTGCGCTGGTAACCGTGTCAGTGCCAGAGTATGGAGTATACGAATAAAGGCGATTCAGATCCGGAGTGACATGTGTGTTAGCCCCTGTATCCAAAAACCAGTTCTCATTGGGAGGAGCAGACTGTGACGCGTAAAAAGCCTGTGGGCGGGAAGCCGAAGGTGGTCCAAAATACTCAGAATCAAAACGATGCCAACAATCCCATGCTGCATGATTTTGTTTTCCACAAATTTGACAGATGAGAGAAGTGCTACTGCTAGAGTAACCACCTCTGAACGAGCCTCGACCAGACCCGCGGCTTCCCCGCTGTCCACGTCCACTAGGGCCCCCACGGCTGCCAAACGGACCACGACCAAGCCCACGACCATCCTGAAAACCACGACTGCCACGGCCACGGTAGAATCCTCGTCCACGACCCTGACCACTGGAGTGCATGTATAGTGCTGTATGAACACTGGAGGACGAGGAGTCATGCAACTCAAGCTTCTGTTCAAGTTGAATATTCAATTCTTCTTGAACCAACCAGGTGACCACCTCTGTCAAGGTGATGTTGTTAATGTTGGTTTGGATGTTTTGTTTAATGGAGGAATAGTCAGAGGGCAATCCACGAAGTATAGCGAGAATCACATCTTGGTCAGAAATTTCTGACTTTGCACGATTCAAATCAGCAACAATTTTAACAACACCATCAAGATATTTTTGCATTGAATCAGAACCCTTACGAACATTGTGTAACTGATCTTTGAGTTGAAAAATATGAGTGCGAGACAGGGAATTATACCGAGTTTGGAGATGTGACCAGATTGCAGCGGCACTATTTTTTCCATGTAAATAAGGTTGGACCGATGGGCTGATTACGGCCAGTAGACAAGCACATAGCTGAGCATCAATTATTGACCAATGCTCATATTCTGGATTGGAAGTCGTGCGAGTGATGCCGTCCTTGTCAGTGACAGAGAGAGTCGGTGGTGGGGCAGGGAGGGAGCCGTCCACATATGGCATAAGCCGATGAGCAGTGAGATTTGCAGTGAGAGTAGACACCCATGACGGGAAGTTGCTGTCATCTAGTTTTTCCGGTGTGAGAGAATGGAGATTCTTGATAAAAAGTTTCAAGCCGGTTGGGAGAGAATCAAGGGGATCAGAATTCTTTGCCATGAGATTCGATCAAGGGAGAGGCTCCTGGACGGCGACGGGTAGCAATCAATTTTGCTCGAAAAACTGGAGCGACTAATTATCTTCTCTGCCTGACTCTCTTGGAGGCTTTCGATCGCAGAGACGAAACAGAGCGGCGGCCGATGGAAAAAAAAAAACCTTTAACACTTTTGGCTATAATTCTCTAGAAGGTGAGTGATCAATTTTGCTCTGATTGGTCCTCTAGGAAAGGCAATAACCAATTTGGCAGAGATGGTAAGATGATGATGATGATGAGGCAAGTGGACCAATTTGGATGATGGCAGAGATGGTAAGATGATGATGATGGTGTAAGTGGATGAAGAAGCTGATGATGATGATGGCAGGGCTATGAGATGATGATGCTGAGATGATGATGCCGAGATGATGATGGTGAAGTAACCGAAGGAAAAAAGAAGAGAAAGAGACGAGCTTACGTTACCATGGCTCTGATACCATATTGGATTTTATGACAAAATATCCACATGCTCTAACTCTTGAGTTTGTAGAGTATATATAAGAGTAGAATAGGTAAATTACATATAAGCCCAAGACTAATATAAATTATATATTATGGCTAACAACACCATTTGTCTAATTTATAATAAAATCCATGAAGTCTATACTTTGATTCTTGCTTTCTTTTTAAAATTTTCTTATGCTTTTTAAGATTTTATATTTACTATTACTATTTTATAGATACTATGCTACTTATGCCTCAATGTGCGCATTGTGTTTGTGATGCGCGCGCATCAATGGCGCATCGTGCATCGAGGCACTAGAGCCCCTTTGTGCATTGGTGCACATCGCCCAACTATGTCATAAACAGAGAATTGTTTCCATTTAGGCCCTAAGGTATTGCTTATGAAAGCTAAAGGATGTTTGTCTTGGATGAGAACAACCCCAGTTCCATAAGTAGAAGCATTAGTTTCTACCACAAATGTCTGGGCAAAATTGGGAAAACCCAAGATTGGGAAGAGCTATGTTCAATTGTTCAAAGGCCTGTGTAGCTTCCAAATTATAGCTAAAGTTTCTCTTCTTCAGTATTTGGGTCAGAAGTTTTGCAATGAGAACATGATTCTTTACAAACTTTCTGTATTAGCCTTCCAGACCCAAGAAACTCCTTAGCTCCTTGGTGTTAGTGGGTATAGGCCATTCTTCCACTGCCATAATCATTCTAGGGTCAGTGGCTATTCTTTCTCCTGAAATAAAATGACCCAAGTATTCCACTTTTCCTGCTCCAAATCTATACATAGAGGCCTTAGCCAGTAATGTATGAATCTTCATGATCTCCAAGACTTAATTCATATGGTTGACATGAGTTTTTACTTATGCGCTTTAGACTAAAATATGATCAAAAAATTCTAGCACAGATTTTCTCAGAAATGGTCTGAAAACCTGATTCATATGACCTTGGAAAGGAATTTTATCCTTGATGGTTTGCTTATTAAGCTCTCTATAATATAACACATAATCTCCATGTCCATCTTTCTTGCCCACCAAAACTACGGGAAAGGCAAATGGGCTGCAACTAAGTTGAATAATTATGCTCTTATCCAACATCTCCTCAACCAATACTTCAATTACATTTTTTTATATTTAAGAGCATATCTGTAAGGTCCGATGCTTATAGGAGTATGTAGTACCTTGCTTCAAGGGCATCTTGTGATAAAAAATACCTCTACTAGGTGGTAGGTAAGAAGTTTCTCTAAACAGCTCCTCATATTGTTACATTATTACAATACCTCAGCAATTAGTGGATGAAGGTCTTTTAATGTTATAGATGAGCAATGCCATCTTTCCTTAGCCTCTAATGTTTCATTTAGCTCATCTAAAGGTAAGATTTGTAGCATACAAAAATACTAAGCTTCTGTTATTGCTCTATGTATCTGAGAACCTTCTACACGTTTGATCATAGGACCATGTAGGCCTCTCAGTATGGGGCCCTTTCCCTTGAAACTGAACTCTGTCTGTAATTCTTTGGAATTTCGTTTTATACTTTCCAGAGTACTTAACCACTGTACTCTTGACTACATCACAGATTCCCAAGGGAATTAGAAACATATCAGTGCTGAAATCAGTGCCTTGCAGCTTCCATTTAAAGTTTCTGCATACATATTGACAGTTTGACACTTCAATTACTGCCATCACCCAGTAACTTTTCTAATGTGAGCCTCCAACTTGCAACCCAATTTCTTGGCAAGACCAACATCCAAGACATTATGAGTGCTACTAGAGTTGTTCAGGATCTGAATGGTTTTCTTACCATAGTGACCAGTGACTCACATGGTTTCATAACCTGCATTGCCATTGACAGCATGGAAGGAAATGCAAGGTTCTGTTTCTAAGATTTCAAATCCCTTAGTATATCACAAGGATATTCCTCCTTCTCCTCCTCTATTCCCTCTTATGTTAGGTCTTCACCTGGAATTTCAACTAGAAACAACTGAGTTTCCTAGTTTGACATTGGTGGCCCCTCTCATAAGGTTGATCACAGAAATAATAGTCCCTTAGCACTTTTCTCTGCTCTTTCTGCTGCTGATAAGGCCTTAGTATGTCTAAAAATCCCAGTCGTGCTATTAGTTGAGCACGATTTGTTGAGTTGGAATTGTTGTTGTTCCTGTATCCAACAAAAGAACTGTTATTGGTGTAGGCAATAAGGCCGCTGTAGGTGTTGGCCTTAATGATAATGTCTTAGACACACTTCTTGTAGCTTGTAATGCCTCTTCTTGTAGCCTGGAAAACTGAACAGTTTCTTCCAAGAATTGAGGCTTAAAAGCTTTCACGAATGGCTTTATATGAGATTTTAAACCACCCACAATGCTATCTATGAAATAATCTTCAGGAAGCCTGGGTTTTCTTTGTAGCATTATAGCTTTTAGGTCTTCAAAACTCTCTAAATGTTCCTCAACAGTTCCCTCTTCGTCCAATTTATTGAAATCTTTTACAGCTTTGCTATCAAGTTCATCTTTAAACCTTCAACATACATAAAAAATTAATTCATCCTATCCCCCTCCTTTCTTGAAAGTAATATAGCTAGAAAACTAAGTTTCGGCTTTACCTACTAAATGGATTGAAGCTACGCCCAATCTTTGTTCTTCAGGAATCTTACACAGGTTGAGATTCCGAGCACATTTCTTAATCCAGTTTCTTGGATTAGATCCATTGAATACAGGAAAATCAATCTTAGGTAAGAAGTTAAAAGGATTTTCGAACATTTTTCATTTTGGATGACCTCTGAGTTGGATCTGTACTCATTACTGCTTGATATCTCCAGCATCATATTCTCCAACATCTTCCTGTTGCCCAGATTTTATCTCTTCGGTTTTTTGATTCTGTGATGCAAGTTGTTGTTCCTGAATAGCCTTCAATAGATTATTTTGAACCTTCTTCCATCTCCATTCCTTGTTTGTGCCAAGATGGAGATAGCTTTGATACCAATGTTAGCCTTTCAATGCAGGAAGCTGCTCGAAATGGAAGCAGAGAGCTTCGAGGATGAAGCTAAAGAAGAATCGAAAATAACAAATTTGAGATTGTAGAGCAAAAGGTGTTGTAGAAAAAGAAGTCTTCTTTATTGATAATATGTTCACTTTCCATTTTTCTCTCTAAAGTATGGTAGTAAACTACAAGGTATAAATATCAAACAGTCACTTGAATCTTAGGGTTGTAGTTTTTTAATATACAACATTTGAAGCATTTGTAGATTTTGAATCTAACATGTATTTACCTATTCTTCTTGCAGGTGATTTATTTTAGTTACATATCCAGGAGATGTAGATTTTTAATATACAACATTAGCATTTAGTACTACAGTATTACAATGTACTCCTTTCTTTGAATTCAGACAAATGTTGGTCATAAATTGCCTTTGAATTCAGACAGAACTGATTCTATTTCTCCTTGTGTTATTCATTTTATGTGTTAAAAAAATGTGGTTTTCTTTGTCTTATGTATCCTATAGGGTTGTGCTTCAATAAGAAGTCCAATTTCTAAAACTATGCTGCTTTTGTGAGAATGGTGTGGTGTGGAGCCCATCGGCACACTACATCTGGGCTCTCAGGCTCCTACATTCCTAAGTTTTTGTTAAGCTTTCTAGATGTTTGAGTAGTGAGTAGTAGTTTTGAATATGGGCTGTAACTATCTTATTTTCTTCATCATTTTTATTAATTAATTTCTATAGCTCAATAAAATGTACTCTACGTTCTTAATAAAATTTGTGTACCAGTACATTTGTAGTGGATAGATTAAACTAGTATTATTATTTTTTTAATTAGAAATTGCTTTAGACATCTTCTGTCTAAAGTATTGTCCAGAAATATAATAATAACGTTAGACAATGGATATTTATCCGCTGTAAAAAAAGTCCAATTTTAGACAACAAATTTTATCCGCTATCCAAAATATGGACTTTCAAATGTATTACAATACATTTTAAAACGCGAGACATTTAAACATTCAAATAATGTATATATGCCTTTTTCGCAAAGATCATTATAGTAACATTCGAATGTAATATTTTCAACATTTGAATGTAGCCCATATTTTGGAAGGCACCCAAAGAAAAGAAATCATCCCAATTAATTGATTTTAAAGGTTTTATTGTTTGAAGAATGGTCGAGCTGAATGACTTGAATCGAATCCTAAATTCTATCCGTGCAGTTGGGAAGAATTAATCCGTATTTCATTGATGGTGTAAATCAGATTTATGTGGATATTTTTTCTTCTGAAGCGAAACTTCTTTGTGACGAACGGAAAATAAAGTATGAAAGCTTGTGTTGGGTAGAGAGAATAGAAGATAACTTGACGTAAATATTAATATATGCATTCATATGTTAGACAAGTAATAACATGTCATATATATATATATATATGTGTGTGTGTGTGTGTGTGTGTGTGTGTATATATATATATATATAGTTTAAAATCAATTCACAGTTGCACCATAAGTGTGTGTTTTTAACGCACTTGAAAAATTTGACATGAGGACCAACTATGCACCAATTTTAAATGTATAGGGCCCAATGAAGTATTTTTTGAAGTTTATGGTGAAAACACGCACTTTATGAAAAATTTTAGAAAAAATAATGCTAAACACTATTTTTTATTTGTAGAATAATGATATTGAAATTGTGACTTCTATTGGCCCGTTTAGCAATACCATTTGAGATTAATGATAACGTTTTGAAAATGTTATCTAACACGAATGTTTACTATATTAGCATTTTTTAAATTAATTTATACTAATACAATTTTATCTGAAATACTAACGGTAATAGAAAACGGTATTCCCAAATAAGATTTATAAGAATGTTACACAACAAACTCAACAAGAAAGTTTTTTTTATTGCAACCACAAAGTTACATTTGATGTGGGAATGATTTTATACTATGCATCATTTTAAATATATGGGGACTAATGACGCATTTTTTGAAGTTTATTGGGAAAACACGCATTTTACGAAAATCTTGAGCAAAAAAATATGACTCTAAATACTATTTTTATTTATAGAATAATGGCATGCATTGAAATCGTGACTTCTATTGGTCCTTTTGGTAAAACCATGAGAGATTAGAGTTAATAGAATTCATATTAAATAGGATTAAAACATAGAGAAAAATACCAAAATCAGACTTTCATGTTTTTTTTTTCAGAAATATGAATTCAAACTATGGTAATGCGGTTGTAATGTGGCACTGTACATATGCACATTACTATATTTTTTGGTAATGTACATGACCATGTTTGGTAATGTAAATGCATTTTAAGTTCTATTTCGGGAATAAAAATAGGAAAGTCCTATTTTGGTATATTTTCAATGTTTTAGTCCTACTCTGGTCTTTCTCCCTAGAGTTAATGTTTTGAAAATGTTATCTAACACGAACGTTTACTATATTAGCATTTTTAAAATTAATTTATGCTATTACAATTTTATCTAAAATGATAACACTAATAGAAAACGTTGTCCCCAAACACGATTTATAAGAATGTAACACAACAAACTCAACTAGGGCTGGGTTGAGAAAACTGAAAACCACAAACTGAACCGAAATCTATCGAAACGAGCTAGAAAAAAAACTGAACTGAAAAAACCAAAATTGAATGTAAAAAACCAAACCGAACTGTTAGTGTTTGGTTCCGTTTTGGTTTTCACTTTGAAAAATCGAACCAAACCGAATAAATCGAACTTTCTTAGATACTTCACATTATTTATATGAATATATATGATATGTACAAAAATAATAGAAATATAAATATACAAATCTATTACTAGTCGATTAAAATTATTAATTTACAAATTTACATAAAAATACTTTGATATTATCATGAAAATGAAAGTATTATACCAAAAAACATAAATTCTTCGTAATTGATTTTACATACGATGTCTTTGGAACTATTTCGAATCTTCTAAATGTTTGTTGGACACTCAACACATATTTTTTTTATGTAAAATTGAAGCGAAAGGAACAATAACCTTCCGTTTGGTTTTTGTTTTGTGTAAAAATCAAACAAAAAACCAAAGCTAACACTACATCATGTTATTGTTTCATCAAGTTAGTGTTTTTACAATTTTTTAATCTTTATAAATTTCTACTTTATAAAAAAACCGAAGTAAAAACCGAACCAAAAAACCAACGATTTACATATTTTTAATGCAAAACCGAACCGACTCGAACCGCCAATTTACCTAACCGAACCGACTCGAACCGCCAATTTACCTTCCGTTTTGTCTTTGGTTTTGGGTGAAAACAGAACCGCCAAAATCGAACCCACCCCTAAACTCAACCACATATTTTTTTTTTGATCGGAACCACAAACTTTCATTTGAATGTGGCCTAGGAAAGATTTGTATTCTAACAAACGGATGATGGATGCTAAATCATGCTGTGTAAGAGCATGGACAATGGCGTGGAGTGTCTCAATGCCTTGCTCATGCCTCACTGTCCCATCATCATAAAAGACATTATTCCATGCGTGGAAGCCTCTCTTTGCAAGTCATAAGTGTGGCAATTTTGCCCCCATTTTATTTTTTTTAATTTTTTTTCTTTTCATTTTTTAAGGAAAAAAATTTGTCAATTTTTTTGAGTAAGTAGTAATATTTTTATGATATATAAAATAAGTATAATAATTTTTAATAATTAAAATATGTCAAAAAATATAAAAAGATAATAAAAACTATGACTTGCCATTGTAAAGTTTGAAACTCCACTCATTTGCCACGCACTGACTAGTTTGTTTTTTATTGGTTAAAATACTCCACCTCAGCGTGTGGCATTCCACTCATTACTTGCCATTGCCCATGCTGTTAAAGAAACCGAAAGGAATTGCCGCTATGAACTCTCAGTTTTTTTTTCCTTTTGGGTGGGTGATGATAGTCGCACCCCATCCAAATACCAAATTCACTCCACACATTAAATTCATGAAAAAATGCTAGGGGGCGCCTGGGGTGGGCGATTCCACCTTTTGGAACAATGAAAAATGCTAGGGGTACACTAAAGGTGTACCCCATTTGTCCCCCACCCCCTCCTCCACCACATAAATGGGCAAAAAATTTAAAAATAAATAAATAATTAAAAATCAAATAAATATGTGTGGTGGAGAAGAGAGTGGGGGACAAATGGGGTACACCTTTGGTGTACCCCTAGCATTGCTCTAAATTCATTCCTTTAATTTCTAAATTATTTTTAATCCATGAGCTTATATGGAACATTTTACAATTTTAAGCATTTTGATAAACTTATATCGAATCAAAATATAACTTTATATTTTTATTTTACTAAAAATATTTTTAAATTTTAGATATGATATCTTTATGAAATAAAATTTTTAGTTTTAATAATGATGCACATTTATTAATATTTATAAAAAAATGGTGTTCTTGAAAGTAATAAAAGAGAATAATGGTGAATAGTTTTAAAAGTTATACTCCATATAAAGTTTTTTTGAAGTAAAATTTCGATGACATTCTTTAAGAAAAACTATGTTGATAAAAATGGTGAAATGCAGTTGGTATAATAAATAGAAAAACAATTATACAAAATCAGTGTATTAACAATAAAAGTGGCACTTTATTAACCATAAAAGCTTACTCCCTTTATATTTTTTCCTTCTTGTATTAATAATATTACTATTATTATTACTACTACTATTATTATTATTATTATTATTATTATTACTACTATTATTACTATTACTAACTCCGTATGGAAAACTTTTTTCCATTTGACTTTTTCTTAATCAATGTTTGTAAATTTTTTACCTCGTTTTGAAAAAAAATCATTGTGTTAATATATAAATCTAATATCAATAAATTCCTTTTAAAACATAAATTTTAAAAAATATATATGTATAAATATAAATATAAATATTAATGGTCAAAGTACTACATTAAAGACCGTGAAAAGTAAAATGCGGAAAAGATTCTCGAAGGAAGAAGTATTATTATTGTTAGGAATGCCATCGCCGCTGCTCCGTAGTTATCATTCGTCATTGGCTTCCGCAGTTGTCAACGGGTTGTCAATGGCCGCCGTTGTTGCCTATTGAGTCGCGCGGGTCAGTTTATAATAATAATAATAATGATAATGATAATGATGATGATGATGATGATCATAATAATAATAATAATAATAATAATAATAATAATAATAATAATAATAATAATAAAATAATAATAATAATAATAATAATAATAATAATAATAATAATAATAATAAAATGAAAAAAAAGGAAAGTTCCATCATATATAGTAAGTTTTTAGTTATTTTAGAGTAGGGAATAGTACATTTTAAAAAATGATGGGACCCAGAAGTTCTTACAACAAAATTAGGGGTACCCAGCAACAATATTTGGGAAAAAAGGAGATGAAAACATAACG